CCCGATCTGCCGACAAACAGCTGATCGGCAGATCGGGGCAGCCATTTAAATTTAAATGAAGCCGCGATTATTTTAATCGCGGCTTCATTTCCCCCTTCCGATCTGGCTAATCTACATGCCTCCGTCGAAGGAGGCATGTAGTCTAGACACACCCTAGGTTTCAGTTAGGAATAAGCAGCAGAAGTAATTGACTAGCATTTCTTAGGGCACATTTGAATACAAGGCTGAACTTTAGTACCCATGAAGCCAGTGATCACTTGGGGGTGCCTATTCTGGAATCCCATTCAGACCCATGCTAGTAGCAATGGGATCAGAGTGGGAAGGAAAGTTACCCCCCCAATCCCAACCAGGCAGCAGAATAGATTTTTAAGGATGAGGAACAAAGAAAGGAATTCAGCAGCAGCCTGACTAGTAGGATTTCTGGGTGCTTTGCAAGTTAGGGATTTAGTAGGTTTCTCTTTTACTTGCAACCACCAGACTGTGACTGAGTAAGGAAAAAACAAATAAAATGGAACTTTAAAGCTCAACAAAGAAATTTACTGTAACAATAAGATGGCTGATCTCTGTGTACTGAATTTGGTCCAGTTCCTAGTGGTCCATAAAGCCAAAGCCACCCTTCCCTCACTTGGCAACATCAGAGAGGCCCACACAGGATGAGTTCAGAGATAAAAGTACCCTCTTGCTCCCACAGGTAAATGATCTACCCAAGTCACAGGATTATTGTTAATTCATTCTTTAGAAAAATATCAATATGTTCCTCACGTCAAGCATACAGTGATCACTCCGTGTCATCCCTAAACAACTGAAGGAGATACCGTAAGTCTAATACATTTCAGTAACAATTCATTTAGCAACATGAAGCCTAAGAAATCTCAGTCATTCAAGACTCAGGCTTCAAAAGATAGATAGATAGATAGATAGATAGATAGATAGATAGATAGATAGATAGATACCCAAGCCCAACCAACCAAAACAAAAATATCCCCACAAACATTTTTTTTTAAAGAAGTTCTGAGTAACTTTCATTTGACATCTGGTATCTGGGCTGTTCACATGTACCTGGGTCATGTTCCCAGGCTGTTCTCTGTAATACTGGGAGCCATTTTCTGTTGTCATTTTTTTTTAAATGATTCTCTTCTCATTTGACTGCAGAAGCTGGAGCTGTATGAAAAGCATCACATAACATGAGATTTGCTGATAATCTTGGGCTGGTAACACTGAGATTCATATAGCATTTGCTTTTCAAAGGAATGCCCCTCATGAGGTCTTTATCAGAAAGGAAAACCTAAGCCCACAGCATATATAAACCATGTGTGCTTGAAAATTGTACATTGGCGAGGCAGAGTGGACGAAGCTGTCCTGCAGCTGTCCTGGGGAACAAGAGGGTTTCAAAGTCTCCAGACATCTCACTTCATCACCCTGCAAAGGCTGCTGTAACTTGTGGCCCTGCTCTAGAGGAGCAATAGAGCTTGTAAGGAATTCAGAATAGACAGAGCATAAGAGTTTCTTGGCTACATCTCAGACCTCTTCCAGCCTCTACCCATGCCCTGCCCTGGAATGCCATCTTCACCTGTGAAGTCATCCTGAATTTCCCATAATGCCACTATATCTGCCCTGCATCTGCTTTCTACTAGCAAGGGCCAGATCACAATGATGAACAGAGCCCTCACAGTCACAGCACCCTAAGCTTTAGAATTTCATTCCTTCAAAGCTCTATTGGGCCATAGCGACTATGGAAATCGAGTGAGTAAATGTTGCAGGCTCAAGCCTCAGAGGCTGAAACAGCCAGGTAGAG